AATTAAGCATAATACTTGAAGGGGAAAAAGTGATCATTCAATGAAATAGAAAGATTTCAAGCTTTCATAAGGAGAAGACCGGAATTGAACAAAAAATTTTATCTCCAATATCAAGACCCAAGAGAAACCTAAAAAGGTAAAAAGAGAAAAGAACCCATAAAGGATTCAATGGAACTGAATTGTTTACATCCCTATATGGGAAGATGATAGTATAGTTCTTACAAATTGCACTGCTACTAGTACAGCTAGAAGGAATATACATAGAGTATTGGTATAAGGTGAATTTGAGGGAATGACATAAAAGAAAATTAAGGGGAGGGGGCAGCTAGGTGGCACAGTGGATAGAGCTCCAGCGTTGGAGTCAGGAGGACTTGAGTTCAAATCTGGCCTCAGATACTTGACACTTACTAGCTCTGTGACCCTGGGCAAATCACTTAACCCCATTGCTTAGCCAAAAAGCAAAACAAAATAATAATAACTAAGGAATAAGAAAGAAGAGCACACTGAGTACAGAAGGAAGGAAGAAGTAGAATGAGGTAAATTATTTCACATGAAGATGCACAAAAAATCTATTATAGTGGAAGGAAAGGGGAGGGTGGGTGATTGACATCACTTGAACCTTACTTTTATCAGTATTGGCTCAAAGAGAGAATAATATGCAAAATCAGTTGAATATAGAAGTCTATTTTACCCAACAAGAAAGGAGGAGGGGAAGAAATAAAGTAAAGGGCGGATACTAATGAAAGAGAGAGCAGACAGGGTGGAGGAAGAAGACAGAAGCAAAACACTGTCCAGGAAGGAAAGGGTGAAAAGAGAGAGAGGACAAGAGAAAAAAATAGGATGGAGGGAAATACACAGTTAGTAATCATAACTGTGAATGTGAATGGGATGAACTCTCCCATAAAAGAGAATCAAATAGCAGAGTAGATCAAAAAACAGAATGCTACAATATGTTGTTTACAAGAAACACATTTAAAGAAGAGAGACATACAGAGTAAAGGTGAGGGGCTGGAGTCAAACCTATTATGCTTCAGCTGAAGTAAAAAAAAAAATGCAGGGGTAGTAATTCTGATCTCAGACAAAATGAAAGCCAAAACAAAAAAAAAACAGACCTAATTAAAAGAGATAAGGAAGGAAACTATGTCTTCCTAAAGGTACCATAGACAATGAAGTAATATCAATACTAAACATATATGCACCAAGTAGTATAGCACCAAATTCTTAAAGGAAACAAAAACAGATGGGAAAACTGGAAAACAAACTAAGTACAGACCAACATCTCAAACCATATACCAAGATAAAGTCAAAACGGGCATGTGATTTAGACATAAAGGGTGACACCATAAGGAAACTAAAAAACTAAAAAATTCCTTATGGAAGAGCAAAGAATAATCTACCTGTTCGATCAATGAAGAGAAGAACGTGTGACCAAACGAGAGAGAGCATTATGAAATATAAAATGGGTAATTTTGATTATATTAAATTTCAAAGCTTCTGCACAAACAAATCCAGTGCGACCAAGATTAGAAAGCTGGGAAACTATTCACAGCAAGTATCTCTGATAAAGGCCTCACTTCGTAAATATATAGGAAACTGAACCAAATTTTAAAAGTACAAAGCCATTCCCCAATTGACAAATGGTCAAAGGATTTGAATAGGCAGTCTTCAAATGAAGAGATCAAAGCTATCTATCTATCTATCTATCTATCTATCTATCTATCTATCTATCTATCTATCTATCTAAGCTATCTATAGGCATATAAAGAAGTGCTCTAAATCACTTGATTAGAGAAATGCAAATTAAAACAACTCTGAGGCACCACCTCATATCTATCAGATTGGCTAATATGACAAAAAAAATGACAAAAAAGGAAAATGATAAATGTTCGAATGAATGTGGGAAAATTGCAACACTAATGCACTGTTGGTGAAGTAATGAACCGATCCAACCATTTTGGAGGGCAATTTGGAACCGTGCCCAAAGGGCTATAAAATTCTGCATACCCTTTGATCCAACAATCCCATTACTAAGTCTGTACCCTAAAGACATCATAAAAAAGGGGAAAGGACCCACATGTACAAAAATGTTTATAGCAAACCTTTTTGTGGTGGCAAAGAATTGGAAACTGAGGTGATGACCATCAATTGCAGAATAGCTGAACAAGCTGGGGTCTGTGAATGTAATAGAATGCTATTGTGCAATAAGAAATGATGAGCAGGCAGACTTCAGAAAAACCTGGAAATGCTTGTACAAACTGATGCAAAGTGAAATGAGCAGAACAAGGAAAACATTGTACATAGTATCAGCACCATTGTGGGATGATCAGCTACGAATGACTTAGCAACACAATAATCCAAGACAAGTACAAAGGACTCATGAAGGAAAATGCCATCCACATCCAGATAAAGAACAGATGGACTCTTTTCACTTACTTTATTCTTTTTTTCCTTTTGATCTGTTTCTTCTTTCACAACTGTGACTAATATAGAAATATTTTATGTGACAGCACATGTAGAACCTATATCAAATTGCCTACCATTTTAGGAAGAAGGGAGGGAGGAACAGAGGGAGAAAAATTTGCATCTCAAAATCTCGTCAAAATGAATGCTAAAAAATTGTCTTGACATGTAATTGGGGGAGGGGGAATGAAATGCTATTTAAAAAAAAAAAAACCTATCCAACAAGTGGTTATCCAGCCTCTGTTTAAAGGCCTCAGTGTGGGCGATTCCACCTACCACCCACTCCCATTTGTCCCTCTTCTCATCCCCGGTTTTTCCCGTGCCTGCTTTCTCTGTCACTTATTCCAGTTCCAACACACAGAAAAGAAATCTGGAAACCAAAAGAAAATCCTCTTTTAGATGTTTCACATCTATTGCTATTGTGTGTACTTCAAATACCTCTAGGCCTCCCAAGAGCCAGGAGCAGCTCTTTCTTTGTGGTTTTTAGCTGCTTGTGACCACCAACTCCAAGGACCCACTGCTACTTCTGGGCTAATTGTAAGCTAGCAATGCCCACAGCATGGCACAAAGCCACTCAAGGCTGCTGGGTTCAAGGCTTCCCTCTTTCCTTAAATGCAGATTCTGTAATTAGTGATCAGCTCCATCCTAACTTTTTCCACTTGAAATATACATGTAGCCTTTTCTTTTGACCTAAGGCTAATAGGTTGATAGTTGATAGGAAAACTCATCTTCCTGAGTTCAAATCCAGCTTCAGACACTCTAGCTGTGTGACCCTGGGCAAGTCACTTAACACTATTTGCCTCAGTTTCCTCATCTGTCAAGTGAGATGGAGAAGGAAATGGCAGTCTCTTTGCCAAGAAAACCCCAAATGAGGTCATGTAACCACAACTGAAAACAACTGAACAACAACAAATTCAGTGGGAACATAGAGGGGCATAGAGGGGCATAGAGAAAGCTGGCATTACAGTACTTTAGTTATTTGTGATCATGGTGTTGGCATACAGTAGGGGTGTTGGCATACAGTAGGGGCTTAATAAGTGTTGATGATTGATTGTAGCAACTCACAAATCTCAAGAGGGATGGGAAAAGGGACTTGTCTGGTCCTCACAGTGGGGAAGCTGTTGGATCCCCAACAGAGATAAAGAAAATGGCTACAAAGAGGTCACCATGTCATCGATCTCTATCTGGAAGGGACTGACCTTCAAGGCCATCCCCCTTTATAGCACCCCACAGCTGTAAGCCATGTTTGGGGATCCAGAGAAGAGAGAAGGGAGGGGAAGTGGAAGCTATATGCCACCTGGGAGTGGACAGTGATGGAAGTCAAGAGAAAGAAGAGGCAGCTAGAGTCCAGTGGAAGGTCAGAATTGGACCAGTGTTGGCTGACTCGGTCCTAGACTGAAACCTAATTGACCCTTAATTGCTAAGTCACCGTATGGCAGCATAGTGCCAGCTTTGGAGTCAAAGGACCTGGGTTCAAATCCTGGCACTTATTATTCGTGTGACCCTTTGAAAGTCACTTCCCTGGACCTCAGTTCCTTTATCGGTAAAATGGGGTGGCGGGAGGAGTAGGGATTGGAATACTTGACCTCTGAAGTCCCTCTTAATTCTAGATCAAAGATCCTATGATCTACTTTGTGACACTGGGCAAGACACAACCTCTGGGGGCCTTAGTTTCCTCATCTGTAAAATGAGAGGGCTGAACTCAGTGGTTTGCAAGATCTCTTCACCTCGACTCCTCCTCAGCCCCTCCCATTCATGGCAAAATCATACAAAAGCAATAGGCATCTAATTATTAAGAAACTGCCTTTAACAGATAAGCTCCACCTCCCTCATGACCAGGCCTTGGGGAGGTTCGAGCTGAGACCTCAGTATGTCTTTGCTGTGCCAGACACGAAAGAAAACATTTAGCTCTTCTCATAAAGCAATTCATTTACAAACAAACCAAGAGGAGAGAAAAAATTCCTGCTCCATCCAGGCATCACCATGAAGCCCACCAAGCTTCCTTCCTGCAGAGAAGTGGCTGAAGGTTCCCAGACTTGTCCAGAGGATTGGCCCCTGGGACAGGTGCTCACTTCCTTCCTTATTTCTTTCCTTCCTCTGTTCCACAAATGAATAATGGAGGAAGTACCAACAGCTCAAATCACGAGGCCCTACTAGGAAGCAAGCCCTGAACTGACCAGACATGCCAATTGTTGTCCGAGGACACAGAACTCAGGAAATTTTCTCACTGAGAGTCAGAACTTTCTGATGTTTTAGTTAGTTTTGCCAAGAATGCAGTCTCAATGCCTGCCTGGCACAGTGCCTGGTACACAGTAGGTGCCTGATAAATGCTGATTGATTGATTGATTTGTCCTGCCCTTAATCCTTCCCATTTATCCAACCTAATATCTCTCTGTCTTTCTCTCTCTCTTTCTCTTTCTCTGCCTTTGTCTCTGTCTCTCTGTCTCTTTCTCTGCCTTTATTTCTCTCTGTCATTGTCTCTCTGTCTCTCTATCTCTCTCTCTCTCTGAGTCAGTGTCTCTTGTCTTTCTCTTCCCCAGATGGAACCTAGACGCCTAAAAAAGCAGCTGCCCAAAATCATAAAGCTGATGAAGCCGGAGGATCGGATCCTGATTGTGGGCACCACGAAGCGCCCCTTTGAGGCTGATATCAAGCCCCTGTGCAAAGTCTACCAGAAGATTATCATGATCCCCAGGCCAGACTACGCCTCCAGATTCGGCAAGTCCCCTCAGTTCCTTTTACAAGCCCAATGTCTCATAGCCCCAGTCACCGGTTGTGTTCCTAGGGGCATGCCTTGCTTTTCTCTCCTTTCTTTCATCAGAAATGATTTACGCAAAACTCAGGATCTGGAGAAGCCTCCACCCCTGAGAATTTCATCGAAAGATGATGTGGGGAGTATAAATCATCGGCTCATGAAAGTGCAATGATATGGCTTTGTTCTGTCATGAATGTGTTCCACATCGTGTAGACGAGATGAAACTGGATGAGGATGATTATTTGGGGCTGGGCAGATGACAAGAGCCCTTATGGATGCTAATGTTTCTTTTGACAGAAAGGGAGAACTGAATCCCTCATTGAACAGACATTTAGCATCTTTTTCATAGCTTCTTTATCTGTTTTCCAAAGCACCAAAATATTCACGTTCCCAAAGGACAATAAAACAGTGTCTTCTCCCGCCTCAGACCTGGATCATCCTTTGAGCTTAGGCTCCTAATTGGCTCTGCCTAACTGATATTTGTTTGGTTGATTGTTTTAAGAAGCCAAGAGCTGTTTCTTTTCACACATTTTAAGATATAAATTCAACTCAAGAAGCATTTATGTACCAGCCAGCATGTGAGATGTCCTGTCGGAGCTATTGTCAGCATTGTGCTGGGTGCCCAAAGACAAAAGGGAAATAAAAAGTCCTGCCCTTCAAGAGGATAAATTCTCCTGGGCTATACAAAAGCTCACCCCATCAGAACCAATGAGCATTTATTAAACACCTATTATGTGTCCCACGTGGCTACTAGGTGCTAGGAAAACAGAGACACAACTCGAGATCCTGGCTTTCAAAGAGCTTACATTCTACTCAGATGAAGTAGCTAGGTGGTTCAGTGAGTAGATAGAGCAGCTGGACCCGGAGTCAAGAAGATCTGAGTTCAAATCCTGCCTCAACACTGCCTAGCTGTGTGACTCTGGGCAAAGCCATTCAACCTCTGTCTGCCTCAGTTTCCTCGTAACAGCACCTACTTCTCAGGGTGTTTGAGAGGGTCAGATAAGCTAACATATGCAAAGTACTTTGCAAATCTCAAAGCGCTATATAAATGCTAGCTATTATTAGTCGATACAAAATAAACACACAGTAAAGACATTATCATTGGAGGGGTGGTAGGATCGGGAATTGTCCCTTGAGCTAAGCCTTGAATGGAGCCAGAAGTTCTCAAAAGGAAAAGATGAAGAGGAAGAACGCTCCAGGGATCAGGGAGAGAGGATCAGACATCATATCTGGGCACAGCTAAGAGGCTTCTTTGGCTGGAACCAGAGCATGTGAGGGGGAGGAGTCACGGGCACAGCCTGGAAAGGCCACGGATGATAAGATCATAGACCAGAGCTGGAAGGAGACTCAGAGCCCATGTAGTCCAACTATCTCATTTTACAGATAAGGAAACTGAGGCCCAGGGAGATCCTATGAATTGCCTAAGGCCCTACAGTTCGTGTCAGAAGTGAACAGTTTGAGTCAAACTGTGAAGGGCTTTAAATGCCAAGAAGAGGAATTGGTTTGTTTGTAGTATTCTAGAGGCAATTGGGAGCCCCTAAGGTTTCTTGAACAAGGGGATAACACAATCAGACTGTGCTTTGGGTGTGGTGGTTTGGCAGATGTATCTAGGATAGACTGGAGAAAAGAGGGCCTTGTTTTTATATTTTGGATATGATAAAATAGATCAAAGTCAGAACTTTCTCTGGGAAACCTTCTGGGGGCAGTGGCTGATCTTAACTACCACCTCAGGATTGTGTCCACTGGGCCCTGGGGCTTCTCCTGCGGCATCATTTCTGGGTCTTTGTTAGCCCCCGATGGAGCACTGTGCCCGGGGAATAGGGGGATATCAGTTTAGCTGGAGGGGGACAGGTTGTGGAGGGCTATGAAAGGCAAAACCCTAAAGGCAACAGATAGCCACTGGAGCTGATGGAGACAATGATAAGACTAGCTCAGAGTTATCTAGTGGCTTACTATTAGCAAAGTGCTCTCTACATACCTCATATGGTAGACTGGGGGGAAGGTGGGTGTTGACATGGCCAGACTGTAATGTAAGAAGACTGCTTTACCAGCTGAGTGGAGGATGGCTTGGAACGGAGGTCCCAAGTCAGGAGAACCAATTCTTCTGCTTGGCCCCAGAGAACAGGACTAGGCGTGATGGCTGGAAGTTTCAAAGAGGGAAATTTCAGCTTGATGTAAGAGTTGGGACAGTCCAACTCATCCCTTCTTTGTGTCCCATCCCCGGCTCAGTGGTCTTCCAGTTGTGAGAACTTACTATTAGAAGAAATACCATTGTTACTGAAGCTGTTAGAGTCATCCAGAAATGCAGCAGTCTGCCTCAGAAGGTGAAAATGACTCTCTCTCACCTCTCCCTCTCCCTCTCCCTGTCTCTCCCTCTCTCTCTCTCTCTCTCTTTTTCTGTTTTTCTCTTTCTCTTCCTTTCTCTCTCTCTCATATATGTATATGCATGTATATGTATATGTATGTGTGCATACACATACACACACACAGATACATACATACATATATTTATATATATATATATATATGTAATAACAGCTCACTAGAGTGTATCCTACATACATTGTCTCATTTGATCCTCACAACAGCTGTGGAGAGTAAGTGCTATTATTATCTCCATTTTATAGATGGGGAAACTGAACCTCAGGTGAAGTGACTGTCTACAGACTGGAAGCAGGATTGGAATCTGGGTCATCTTGGTTCCAAGTCCAGCTCACTTTTCTTTCCACCAGATTCTTCTCCTGAGGTAGTGGGTGTTCCTCACTAGAGGTCTTCAGTTGATGCCTCGATGACCAGCCATTTGTCAGGGATTTTGGAAGGAGGATTCTAGGTCAGAGCCCCCAGGGACCTTTTCAACTCTGAGATTCTGTGACTCTATAAATCTGCCCCTCTCCAGCTCTCTCCCACCTTTGCTCCTAGCTTGGATTCCCAGGGACAGGCGGAACAAGGCTCATCCCTCAGATATTTAGGGATTGCTGTCATAATCCTCCAGCTCCAAATCTTCCCTTCCCCTAGTTCCTCCGATGACCAATCACCCAATTCCCCACATGGATAACTCTGGGGGGATATTTCATTCTTCCCTTACCCTCACTTCTAATGTCATTAGTGATGAGTCCTTTCTGCCTCTATGATATTTCATGCACTGTCCCATCCTGCCTCTTCTCACTGCCACCCCCTGGAGCAAGTGCTCAATACCACCTCCCAGACTATAACAATAGCCACCATGAAGGTCTTCACACTTTCACTCTCTCTCCCAACCCCAATCTGTCATATACACAGATATAGATACATGTGGATATAGATATATCTACATAGATATATATGAAAGTATGATCTTTTTTTACTTATAGACTTAACCAAGCCACTGCTTTGCTCAGAAGTCATCAGTGACTCCCTATTGTCTAGACTCTTGTTCCTGACATCCAAGGTCCTCCATGACCTGGCATGTTAACTATATATTCCCAGATTTGTCTCATCCCTCTCCCCTCTGATTACTTTTCATTCCAGCCAAGCTGGATATCCCTCTGGATATCCCTGGACTATTGCATCCCAATGACTTCGTGTCTTTGCTCAGGTCATTTACTTTTCTGAGAATTCCCTCTCCCTACCTATCAAATGCCTACACATCTTTTAAAGTCCGTAACAAGAGCAGCAGTTCTGGGAGTTCTCAGCCCAGAGGCAGTAAGGGGGTTGGACTACTCATCACAAAGAGATTACAGGGGATCTTTTGCTGTCACTGGATGGAGTTGGTTCCAATTGGCAACTCTATTGCCCATAAGAAGTTCTGAGTTGAAGCTGAAGGAAAGAAATGAGTACTTGTGATCAGTCACAAGGAGCAGAGGCCCTGGTCACAATTCCAGGGCCAAGAAGATCACTAGTGCTAGTGGTTTCAGGAAAACAGGGGACCTGGTCAGAGTCCCAGAGCAAAGAGGAGCACTGGTATTTGTGGCTATAGGGGAGCAGGGATCCTTCTCGGGTAAAGATCAGACGACAGACCAGGAGAGCAATGACCACACCTCTTCCAGGACAACACCTCCTTGGAAGCATCAAAATCTTGCAGACCCTCAGAATCATCTCTGAAAACAGCAGCACAAAAAATCCTGAAGCTTGGCATGGTGTCTCCCTACCACCGAGTGAAAAGAGCCTAACTTTAACATAAAGTTCAAAGTGAAGAAATAGACTGAGGACATGAGCAAACAACCAAGAGGAAGAATTTGACCATAAAAACTTACTATGGTGGCAGGGAAGTCCAAGACATAAACTTAGAAGATGACAACAATGTTTAAAAAAAACCCACAAGCAAAGCCTCAGACATAGATGCTAATTGGGCCCAAAGCTAACAAGAATTCCTGGAAGAGTTAAGGTGAGAGATCAAAGTGGTAGAGGCAAAATTGGGGAAAGACATGAAAGTGATGCAAGAAAACAACTTGGTAAAAGAGGCACAAAAATACTGAGGAAAATATCATAAAAATGGAATTGGTCTAATCATAAAAGAGGAACAAAAATTTACTGAAGAAAAGAATGCCTTAAGAAGTAGAATTAGCCAAATGGAAAAGAAGTACAAAAACTTAGTGAAGAAAGTGATTCCTTAAAATTAGAATTGGGTAAGAGGAAGTTAATGACTCCATGACACTTCAAAAAATAATAAAACAAAGTCAAAAGAATGAAAAAAAGGAGAAAATGTGAAATATCTCACTGGAAAGCAACTGACCTGGAAAATAGTTTGAAGAGATAATTTAAGAATTATTAGACTACTGAAAACCATCATAAAAAAAAGCCCAGATATAATATTTCAAGAAATTATCAAGGAAAACTTCCCTAACAGCTTAGATCCAGAGGGTCAAATACAAATTGAAATAGTCCACTGTTCTCATTCTGAAAGAGATCCCAAAATGAAAATCCTCAGGAATATTATAACCAAACCCTAGAGTTCCAAGGTCAAGGAAAAAAAATCATTGCTAGT